AAAGTTTAAACTCTCCCCAAAAATATCAACCCATTGATACAAAGACATTCTCTCTTCAAAAGTATCAACTCATCTTTTATTTTTACTCAAATTTTATTAATTTTATATTTCAATATACTCCATTATTTCAACCAAAAACACTCTCTTTCTTCCTTTTACTCAAATTTTAATAATTTTATATCTAATGATACCCACCAAAGATCATCAATAATGATGCTCTTAGTAAAAGCTTTGGTTTGTCTTCATTTCTACGGTCACATCACGATCGATGAAAACAAACTTTTCTTATTTATACTATGTTTATTATATGTGTAAACTTTGATTTTATCGTTGATTAATATAGTTTTGTTGATAAGCTATTTTACAGACACCATATAATATATTCATTAATATACTGAGACTGAAACCAGTGAATAATTTGTAGACTCTAATTTGTATGAGTGTGCTAATTTGTGACCACTACAAAACTTTAAAGGGTAACATTTTTGTGTATATAGTTAATGTATTCTTAAATACAAAAAACGAACTACCCAAAAAAAATACTTACGTAAATTCAAAGCAAGGGGTTGATGACAAAAAACCCCATAAAAACTTTTGAAAGAAGAAATAAACAAAGTGATCACAAACAACACATGCATAATTAATGAAAATAAACACTCGAAAAGCAGACGATCTCCTCATAACAAGTGACCCAAAATCCCTTAATTATTACTTATATGAGGATCTCAAAAACCCGAATTAGGAGAAGAATCCCCAAAATGCAAATATCTTGCGTAATCGTGCTCTTCTTGTTGCCTCGAAGATCCACCAGAAGATGAAGAAGTAGTAGATAAGGTCTGATGATTATACACTGAGCCTCCGGTTTCCCCACCGGCCAAACTATAGCTTACTGCCTCGTTACCATTTCCCCCTTGATGAGGATATTGGTTATAGTAGTATTGGTTGAAATACGGTATGGTTTGCGGATTGGTCTGCGGATTTGAGTAGTAAACTTGATTATTAGAAGAGTAATAGTTTGGTAGACCGGTAATAACACTAGTGTTACTTGCTAGTTGAGCTCTCTCAGGGAAATTGAGTTTGGCTTTGCTTCCTTTGAACTTAAGAGCTGCTTCATCATAAGCTAAAGCCGCAGCTTCTGCGGTCTCAAATGTCCCGAGCCACACGCGTGCTGCCTTTTGTGGATCCCTAATTTCGGCTGCCCACTTTCCCCATGGTCGTTGCCTTACCCCTCTATAATGTCTCTTCCTCACGTTTCCTTCATACAATCAACAAGTGACATATATCATTTATATATAGGGTTTGGTAGATTTCTTATATATAATATAGATCTGGTAGATTTCTCATATATATATTTGCTCCCGACGATAAATTTCATCGTCCAGAACAAAAATTTAGCTGCCATTTTTTAACAGTATATGCTCATTAATTGGATATGTACACATAATCACATAGAAGCAATTACTTGCTATAAATACGCTAACCAATTCAACTAATATATGTATATATAATCAAAATGGCCTATGTTTGAAACTATATATACCTTGATCTTGAGTAGGAGGAACCGGTTGGACAGGATCTTGTTGATTATAAACAACAGGGTGATGTTGGTAATTATCATGAGAGTTGCTTTGGTTTCCAATGACTTGAGTCAAGGCTGAGACCATGGCACACATGTCGTATTGGGATCGGGCCGAGAAGAAAGGAAATATATTCTCATCATCATCAACTTCTTTCTTTTCCTCAGATTCATCGTTTCGAAAGGGCCTCTTCCCATAATTCCTTTGATTCGCCATCTTTACAAAATTCTTAAAAATCCCCCTCTTTTTCAGGAGGTTTAGATTTTAGATCGAGTTTAGGGTTTAAATTATTGTGTTGTTTTAAATAGAGGAAGCCTTGAAAATAAGAAATATAGAAGAAGATGAAGGAGGAAGATGTGAGAGAGATGTTGATTAGGGTTTTGGGGTGAGCAAATTGAAGGTTTTATAGAAGCATTTTTGTCTGTGTGAACATAAGAAAAATGACAAAAACGTAAAGCTGAAGTTTTGCATATTCTTTTTTAATAAATGTTTGTTTTCCTAGCTATTATAGTTTTCGAGACACATAAAAATCATGTACTTATATTAGTATAGTTGCTAAAACTGTAGAGACGCGTGAAAAAGATTTTTGATTTGCTTATATGGCAGAAAATGCGTACGTGTGAATCTAAACAAATGTATATCAATAAAGATTAGTAGAAAAGCTATTATAAATGAAAAATAATATGAACACTAGCTAGATATAAAGATCCAAAATGACATAAAGGGAAAAAAAATTAAAGAAGGAAAATACATGCATGTATATATTCTGTTTAATTGTTTCTTTTCGGGAACATGCATGGCATGGCATCAAAGAAGAAAAAAAGTTATTTCTGAAAGTTTTAATTTAAACTCGATCCTTTTGAAAAATAATTTAAAATACAAAGAAACTAGATATTTTCTTTGTTTATAACCCGACATTCTCTGAAAAGGTTAATAAATAAGAAAATGATAAACTTGTTTCTCATATGGTATGTGATTTAAAAAAAAAAGAAATGAACTTCCGTACGTGTGAGTGGGATCTTTGTTTTTCTTTCCTATAAAATATTTGGATAGAAAGGTTCAAAAAAATAATATATATATATATTTGGATAGAGAATGGAAAAAAAAAATTAGTTATAACATATACATATCCAAGACGTGTACACACTAACTGTGTGAATTGAAAATGTTGTTGTGGAGGCTCTTTCTGCTTATAGATATACACTTAATTATATATGTTTTTCCTAGTTTCATCTATATCTGGAAATGTTCAACTTCACTTTTATGTGGAGGCATACATAGTCCAGTATTCAAGTTTTTTG